TACACTTCCTATGATCAGCATGAGATGAAACAATGCATATCTGTCTTTTGAGAGCTGTGCAGAGCTATAGGTATCTAAAAGGCCCAATTCCTCACCCTAGCCACTACTGCTCCAAACAGCCTGCCGTGGGTAAAGAGGTAAAAATATCCGTGGGTAAAGAGGAAGGACAATAAAGAAGAAACTGGGGGGTTTACCCCAACTCTACATGGGTCAAAGAGGGCCCTGACTCCAGGTCTGCCCCCATCCTTTTATGAGATGATCAGAACAGAGTGGACTCTTCTGTCTCCGTACAAATATAAGGAACCAAGGTTAACTAAAAGCACTGCATACTCTAAGTGACCCACTCTTCCACAAAAGCTTCCGCGGTGCTGAGTGTGCACCGATGTTTGGGTTGAATCTAACTTTTGCCCACTCTCCACAGGACTTTCAGATTCAGGTCTGCAGTACTTTATTAGAATCTGGGCCAACGATGATCATTTCCAGCGATGATCTGTCATGGGAAAATTTATCAAAAAATCTAACCAGACTACTTTAGTAAATCTATGGCTGATTTTCCTTGAAGATTTTTTTATAATCCTGGAAGACTGATGACTCTTTAAATCCTGCCACGGTTATGTCATCACTAAGTTCAATTGAAACTGGAGATTTTTACGATAGGTTTTAGGTCTTGCATGACACTGGAATGCTGCAGACAACATTCCTTAGATATTACAGTTAAAAAACGGTAGTTGAAACTTGTAAATCCTCACCGAGGAACCAGAATTGCATTTTGGAAATGTATCAGATGACTCAAAGCTGGAGCCTGGATTCCTCATCAGAGTTCTCCTCTGAAGGAGATGGTCTCGGCTAGGCAGTGAGCTCTTTTTTAAATATGTCAAAGTTCTGATGAGTGGGAACTGAAGCAGATATGTGGAATCCAGGACACCCAGGTCTGTGATTTGGAGGCGAATCATGTAATCTCTTTGAACATCTGTCTCTTTATCTGTACAAAAGAAATGCTAATACTTGCATTGTTTGCTTCTCAGGAGTGTTGTGAAATGAATGTAAAATGCAGAAATGACAGGAGAAAAAGCTTTGTGAACTCTGAGTCAGACTGAACGTGCTTTTTTCTCATGTATAACATCAGCCTCCATCCACCACTACCACCTGAGCAGCTCCAACCAGCTCATCTCCCCCATCCCCCATCAGCTTCTCCTCCAAAGGCTCCTCTTCAGGCTGCTGGTCTCCCTCTCCCCAGGGACCCAGACTTAGGAATTTGGGCCTGCTGCCTTGTCCATACACCAAGTGTGATCCAAGAAAGTTCAGTTCCTTTCAAAATATAAATCTGGGGCCTGGGGAAGAAGCTAGCCTAGCATGCGTGAGGCCCCACCTTTGATCCCCACCACTGCAAAAATGAAGGGGGAAAAGAAGTTCAAAATACAAATCTGATCAGGCCAATCCTTTGCTCAAAAATCACTGACAATTTCCAATTATTCTTTTTAAAAAAGGGCTAAAACATGTAAGTTGTCCCCAGTCCCTGTTGTGTCTGGTCTCGCCCTCCTCCCACCTAATCCAATGTTCTCCTCCCCCTTTGCATGGTTCCTCCAAAGCCTTTTCTCACACTGGAGTGGAACCACTGGCCCCAGTGGTCCTCTGGTCATCATCGCAAGCTTATGTCTTCAGTAAGGCCACCCTGGACCCCCTGGCAATGCCCAAGTCCTGAAGGAATAGGGTACGTTTTGGTTGAAAAATCTATTCCTTTCTAAGGAGCATTTATGTCATTTGAAACCTGTCACATGGAGAATCTCCCTGCCTCCCAGTCATAAAGTTAATGAAAGCAGTAATTGTTTTTACTCCAACACTGTCAACTCAAGGCCTAGCACACAATGGGGACTCAAAATACTGGAGATTGAGCCCAGGGGTGCTCCAGCACTATGCTACATCCCCAGTCCTTTTTATTTTATTTTGAAATAGGGTGTCACTAAATTGCTCAGGTTGGCCTCAAATGTGTGATCCTCCTGCCTAGCCTCCTGAGTATCTAGATTTACAGCTTGTAATACTTTAAAAAGTATTTTGTAGCCACCGTGGCTAGCTTTAAAATACTTTTTAAAGGAAGGAGCAAGTCAATCAATCTTGGGATCCTTTCCTCACTGCCTAAATTTAAAAGTTTAATTAAGAGGGGAGAGAAAAGTGAGCTAACTAAATATCTAATATATGTTAGGCATTTAAATAAGTGCTTTGTACTTATTGTTTCATCTGTTCATTATTAAATTATACCAAATTGTACTAGCCTTCTATGACCATGGTACAAATTATGTTAAATATGGTGGTTTAAAACAACACAAATTTATGATCTTACATTTCTGTGGGCTGGAAATCTCACATTAGCCTAAAACCAAGGTTTCAGCAGAGCTGTGTTCCTTCTGGAGACCTGAAGGGGAACCTGATTCCTTGCTTTTTTAATCTTCTAGAAGCTGCCTGACTTCCTTGACCCCTTTTTCCACCATCAACACCAGCAACATCACATCTCTCTGGCCATTATTCTATGCCACATCTCCCTCTGACTCTGCCAGTTGGGATCACTGGAATGAACCCAGGTAATCTCCCATCTTAAGGCCACAGAGGCAAAGTTGCTTTTCTCATGGAAAGCAATGAATCCCCAGGGGCTAGGAGTCTGGATGGATGTCAGTGCCACTATTCTGCCTAACAGGTAGGCTGGGTGGTAGATGAAGGATGCAGAATCAAATGGTGTCTCATAGTTCAGAAAGGCTCACTAAAGTGGTTGCTGCTTCATTATTTTATAACTAAGATCGCGTGAGGAAACATTTCTGAGAAGGTGTACTAAAGGAACTGCATTAGCTTCTCAGGGCTGCTGCAACAAATTACCATAAACTTAGTGGCTTAAAGCAACAGATACTTATTCTTCACACTCCCACAGCCTTAAGTGGGACATGAAGGTGTCGGCAGGTGCTGCGCTCCTCCTAAGTGCTCCAGGGGAAGCCTTCTTGCTTCTTCCAGCATCTGACCTTGGCTTGGTGGAGCCTACCTGCACTCCACCTGTCTGCACTTGGCCTCTTCCCTGTGTTCCTGTCTCTCAACTCTCCATCTGCACTTCTTTTATAAGGACGCCTGCCACTGGATTTAGTGCCCACCCTGAGTCCGGGATAATCTCATCTTGAGATCCTTAACTTAATTACATCTGCAAAGACCTATTTCTAAATAAGCTCCCACTCTGAGTTTCTGGGTGGACATGAATTGGGGAGGACACTATTCAACACAGGCAGGGCTTATAAAAGGCATAAGTGTGTTACTAAGTGGACTACACACTGGTGGAAGATGGCCTGCCACACTTAAATGCTCACACCAGCCATAAAGCTCATCTGCCACCTCGAGCATGCTACTGTCAGAGCAAACTTAGCAAACATCACAGAGACCCCAAGAGCATCTTCTCTGACCCAGGGGAAGATGAAAAGCAGAAACGTAAAACCTGTCACCCATCTAGTTCCCTGTTCCTTGTGCCTAACAAGTGTGTCCTTCTCCCCTGCCCCATCTTTTTCTATATGACAGTTTGACAGATATCTGAGGGATGGGACAGTGCCACCCTTCCTTGTAATTTTTATGACATGCTTCAAGAATAATAACCATGGTATCTATTTTAGTTTATATTTTAATCTTTTGAAAAAATCTCTAGGAAAATGCTGTCATTCAAGCATAAAGCTAAGCAGGCCTACACTAAGCTCCTGAAGGAGATTTTTGTGGTTGCTCTTGTTCTTCATGCAAGTGGGTCTCAGAAAGGAAGCTACCTGAGGGGAGGCTGATGTTAAACATGTTGACAGCAACCTGGCCTGGAAAGGCTCCAGTGCCTCACTGGGCATGTGGGGAAAGTGCCCAGAACTGACCCGCAGACAGGCACAAATTTTAGAATTTTGTATTCCTAAATATTCTGAACCTCACAACTGTAGCTCTTTATAAAGCATCTTCATGCTCCTCATATTAGTGAGACAATCAAACACACGAGCTAATAGTTACAGAATGAGCTGGGGATCCTGAAGAACTGGGGGTGAAGAAGACCTTTGACAGGTTGCTGAACCACACCTGGCCTCAGTTTCCTCACCTGTAAAATGGGCAATATGCTGTTCAGACTGCTGCTGTGAGGACCCAATGAGACACTCAGTTATAACCACCCATGACTGCTGTTAATTATTAGAGTATTACCAGGACCCAGAAGTAGTCAGAACAGATAGCCACATCCCCATTTGACTGTGGCACAGAATTCAAGAGCATACAGTGAAGCAGGGCTAGGGACTAAATAGAAATCAAACAACTGCAAATCCCCTGTTAACGTTCAGTATAATTAAACTTCTAGCAGAAGAAAGTACTTCCTAAATTGAGTTTTATTGTTCTTCCAAACTATAATCCAAGCAGCAAGTTATGTTTGAGTTTTTTAAACCACCTGGACCATAAGAGAATTCATACCAGCTCTGAGTAAAAAGTTCTATTGTGTTGGGGAAATAACTATCCCTGAAATCAGAGGCAGAATCAAGGAAGCCAAAGAGGCATTGAGATTTGGAGTCTGCAGTAAAAAGGGAAAGACTCAACAGAACACCATTTAAACCATAAATGTACCAAGTCTGGCCCTCTGTCTGTCTTTGTTAATAAAGTTTTATTGGAACACAGCCATGCTCATTCATTTGTGTATAGTTGCAACAGCACTTATTGGGCCCACAAAGCCTACATTGTTTGGTATGTGGACTTCTACAGAAAAAAATTGAGGACATCTATTGTAGAAGACACCAGGGAAAGAAAACCCTGGAAGACCTCATTTTATTCCTTCTTCATGAAATAGAAGCTAAACAAATCCCCCCAGTGAAATGACTAGCAGGACCTGAAAGGTGGGAGGTGTTTTCCCCAAGAAAGCCAGGTTAAGTTCCTGATGCATGGCTACATTTATCTTAGTGGCCCCAGTACCTACATCTCCCCCAGTTTGGGAATTCTGCACATCTGTAACATGCAAGACTCACCTGGGTTTTCTTTTCTTCCAGGATGCGTGCTGATCTGGATTCTTGCCTCACTTCTTCCTCTTCTGCCACTTTCTTGCAGGCATTCTGTGTTTTCCAGTTATTTGGTGTTTGTGGATCAGAGCACTGTGATTTTGTTTTCAAGTTATTGGTGAATTCTTCAGACTGAGTTTTTCTGAAGAGAAGCAAAAGTGAAATTATCAAAAGCATCCTTCAACGTGGACAGCTTGTCTGAAGCAGATGTCTACACTCAGACTATGTGAAAAACAGTAACAGATTGCTTATTATAGTGCTTATAATCTGCCAGACCTCTTGCTAGATACTTTACAGACATTAACTAAGTCCTTGTACCAACCCAGGGAGGAAGGATTGTTATCCTTGCTTTGTTAGAAGAGGCTCAAAGAAAGCTTATAATTCATCCAAGACTACATAGTGGCATAGCCAGGATTTAAATTTAAGTCTGCCCAATTCCTGGGTCAGAAGTCAGGCTGCAAGAGGACACTGCCCTGCTCTGATCAGTCGGCAAATACTCCCTTGTGCATTTATGTGTTAATGTCCCACAGATTGGCAGATGGCGTCATCAGCCTTTGGGGGCTGAACTGAGGTCCTCGCGTCTATTCCAACATCCATTTTACCAACTCAGTTGGGCTGTTAACACCACTGCCCGGAGCTAGGGGAAGGCAACCAAGAGAGGGTGGCTTCCCAGAGGCCACCCTGTGCACCTGGCAGAGGGGATCACCGCCTGCCTCAGGGTTCCCCAGGTTGTGCCAATGCGTGTTCAAAACAGCCTCACTCTCCACAGAAGATCCAAGGGGCCTTCAAGGCACCCTAGAGCAAGGCCCTCCATCTCCCTCTACTCACCCAGGTACATCCCAAGCACTCAGAAGAACTCATTCCCCAAAGAGCCGTTCAAAGTCAAGTGGGGAATCTTGATTATGCCCTCCACCTTCACCTTCCTTCCTGACCTTCTGTAGCTGGAAACTCAACTTATCCTTCAAGGCTCGGTCAGATTTCACCTCCTCTGTGGGTCAGGACAGGTTCCTCCCTGGGCTTGGTTAATTCTTGGTTTATGCCTTAACCACAGCTCACAGCGTGGCCTGCATCGGCTGCAGGTGGTGGTGTGTCAGCCTGTGCCTCCTCCTACACTGGAAGCTCCCTGTTCCTCTTTGAATTCCCAGTGCCTGGTACAGTGGAATGACCAAAAGGGCCTGAGCACTCAGCTGCCTGCAACTGAGCAGTCTTCTTCCTCAAAGGCCTGACATCGGAACAGCCTCTCAACCTCCTGTCACTCAGCCACAGCGCCCGCACTGCTCCACCACAACCCCAGTGAAGCCTCCGCTGATGGCTTCAGAACCTACATCCTCGTGCAGATCAGCAGCACCTGATCTGACAGCACTGTGGGAATGAAGGGAACCACTGAACATCTACAGAAACATTCCAGAAAGATCAAAAGTGATGCTTACAATCTTCAGAAGCCACTGTGAGCAAGAAGCATCATTGCAGCGTCTTAACACCTAGCCAGTCTCTTACGGGCGTGCGGATCTCCTACCTGAGCTCCTCAGCTTCCTGCTCGGTTCTCAGCCGCTCCCTCTCAGCAGTGATCTCACTGCAGAGCACATCGTAGGGCTTATCCAGATGGTGTTCACCCATCACCCAGACCCACACTTCCTTGTCCGCTCCCAGTTTCCAGTGGACAGATTTGCCATTCTCTGCAAATGAGACAAAATGTGGGTTGAATAAATACCTTGAATCATGGGACACTATGATTCCCCAATCAGTAAAGTATTTAGGGTTTTGTGGGGGTGTGGGGGGGGGACAAATAAAGCAAATGCTTCCAACCTGCTCAGGAATAAGCAGCATTCATGGGTAGCAATGACAGGAGTGACAGAGTAGCAGCATTGTCACAATTGTTTAAAAATATTATGGCCATGGTTTTTTCACATGCCCATTTTGCAGGAATGGTAAAAAGCATTTGTGGTTTGCCTTATCCTTTAGGGTAACAGTTGCTGTCAGGTACCATAGCCTCCGAAGTCTAAGTATGTGCCCACACTGGGCATGACCCTAGAGACCAGCCAAGAGGTACAGTCCCTATAACCCCAAATTACACAGATGCTCAAGGGTTGGGGGCCTCTAGTGTCTTCATAGGTTTCACTGGTGTGTTAGATAGTGGCATTCAAATCCTGGCTCTGCCACTCACCAGCTGTGTGACTTGGACACACTAATCTCTTGAAGACTCTATTTCCACTTTTACAAATGGTGAGACCAACATCTACTATACAGAATTGCTGTGCAAGGTAGGCAGGCTGGGGATGCCAAGTTCTTCCCCTGGTGCCTGCCACATAATAGGAGTTCAATAGAGGTTAAATGCTGCCACCCAGCCTATTATTTACTAATACGGCTGCCTCGAGATCCACACCAGCTTGTGAGAAGATGATACCACCAGGCAGTGTGACACTTGATGAAGAGACTTAAACAACCCTTGCTTACAGTTGGTCTCACAGGTTGTATTATGTTCCAGTTCCTGTGCTCCTGAAATGTGCCCACACTGGGCATGACCCTAGAGACCAGCCAAGAGGTACAGTCCCTAAGTCTATGGCCCTCCTCGGATCACAGTGTGGTCCAAAGTTGTTCTTAGACAAGACCCCAAACTTCTCAGTGGTGTTGAGTGTGTGAGGGAGGGCACCATCGGAAACATGACCGAGCCCAGCCATGCTGTGAGGGTCAGAAGTCCACACTGTCTTCTTACACCCAGTGGAAGAAGGTTTCCAGTTACAGTCTCATTGTGTTGTTGACTTATTTTGTACCATTACCTCAGAAAAGCAGGCTACTCAAAGGCAGACTCCATCTTTATTTTGGCACTTTCTACTCTTCCTGGGGCAAAGGATGCTGCCTGCAGTCTAAGAAAGCTCTAAACAGAGCCGCTTGGTAGGGTGGAGGACAGACTCCTATACCCTTCTCTACCAAAGGATTCAAAAGTATCATTGAGCAGGAAACTGCCCTGACACTGTTTTCACAAGTGAGCCAACAGTGCCGGTGGTACCCGGGTAAGGGAGGGAAGATGGATCCATGTGCCCTGGGGGGGAGTGCCAGCCCAAGCACTCCGGATGCTTCAGGAAATGCCACATGGTTCATTAACCTTAGAAAGCCGTCATACTTCATAAAACTCCTTTTATTACACCCACTCGGGGCAACTAATAATATTTTTACGATGTCCGCATCTCAACCCTCACCCAAGTAACTCTCTACTAATATTTTTTTTGACAGCAGAAGATAACCAAAGAGGGTAGTGGCAGTCTGCCAAGAGAGGCCAAGAGGGAGAGCTGAGAGATTCTGCAGCTCAGCTAGGACAGCCCTCACAGTCTCTCCCCAAACCCAGCCCCCGGAGAGCACAACAGGCTGCAGGCAGAAGCAACAACTCATGGGGAAGAAGTCCTTGCTCTGAGGTGGGAGAAAGAAATCTAGGATCACAGGTGAGCAGGGAAAGGTGCCTAGGGACTGAAGGCAAAGAAGAGAGGCAAAGTAGAGGACTAGAGTCTGGGAATTTCAAAAGGAGGGGAGTCTTAAGAGTATGGTAAAAATAATAGTAATAGTAGTAGTAATAGTAATAGTAGTAGTAGTAGTAGTAGTAGTAGTAATAGTAGTAGTAGTAGTAGTAGTAGTAGTAGTAATGGTTCATGAGCAAGAAGGAAGAGAAGTAGATGTAAAATATTAGATTTTGCCAGATGTTCAAAACTGGGCTCTCAGCAGAGCGGCACTGACAGTGATCTCTATTCCAACTCATCACTTCCAGGGGCTCAGAAATGGGATCAGAAAGCAAAGAGACTGGAGGCGCTTCCAGGGTGTCACTCAACTCCCTGAAGCTGCTGCAGGGTGAGGAAGTCCTTCTAGCAGGATGGGTGTCCAACCAACTCCGACACCTTCGGCTTCCTACCAAGATGAGGGATGCCAATCAAGGTGGCTGCCCTCGGTCACTCATTCCATGTAGCAGAAACTGGGTTCCTACTATGAACAAGCAGGAGAGCTAGATGCTGCAGGGGATACCGGGAGGAAACCCACACACGAGTCTGTTTTCCTGCAAGAAACCTAGAATCTAAGGGGGAAAGGACCAGGATTAGGCTATTTACCTAGTGAATTTTCATTACCTACCTACACACGCCAGGCACTGAGGGAGAGGCAAGTGAGCACTCATGACAAGAAAGACCAGTCCCTGTCCCCAAGGGACTCACATTCTAGTTGGACAATTTTACAAAGGACAGGCGGCCCATGTGGCTGGATTCAAGGAAGGATTCAAATATAATGCCAGAGCTTTGAGATGCTCCAGCCGGGAGGGTGGTAGCCAGAAACAGGGCTATCAAGAACATTTATCTGTTGGGGAACAAAATAAGGAGCTGTTTGGAAATGCAGGATAACATTTTGTTTTACTAGAAACTTCTGTGGAGACATCCAGTAGATCTCTGGACTCCCTCTGGAGCTGAGAAGGCGGGAGACAGCATGAACTTGAGAATGACCTTATAGATGCTATCAGGGAAGCCACTGGCATAGCAGAGTTCACGAAGAGGATGAAGTCCAGAGGGAAGCTTGGAAGAGCCTGTGCTTCATCAGGAACAGAAGGAAAGGGGGAGAAAGAGAGCCCTGGTTACATGTAAACAAACGTAAAAGGCAGAGGATTCCGGTCCCCAAATAACTAAGTAACGTAGAAGGAGACTGGGGGAAGCCACCACAGGTACCCAAGAGAGGAAAGGAGGGGATCACAACAGCCTCTGACTTGGGAGAAGGTAGTTTCAGAGCCACAGGAGGGGGACAGGCCTCTCAGGCGGGAGGGAGGATGGAGAGAGCTGGTGCAGGCCATGGCTGTGTGCTCTGGAGAAGTCTGTCACTGGAGAGGAAGAGACGTCAGCCTTCGGCTCAGTTAATGTCACTACACGTAGGCACTGCGCTGCCAAACTAAGGGGCAGTTCCTTTATTCAAAGGCAAGTTCCTTTATTCAAAGCCTTCCTTTTTCTGAAATAGCATAGGATAGGAGCACAGCATAGGAGCAGCGTCAGCTAAAAGATCTCTGGGCATGGGAAACATGGGCAGGGGTTGTCCCCGAGTTTTTGGAAAGGAAGAGAGTAAGGAGGCCAGGGAGGAAGTCAGGGGGATGTGGCCACCTCAGAGGTTCCTGAAATCATCTTCTCTAACCAGCTTTTCTAGAAAAGAGGATCAGTCCTGCACAGTACCACACCATAAAGAACTTCCAAGCAGAGGCAAGTATCCACACCATATTCTGCAGGGAAATGGTCTCTCAAGTCAGAGATGGAGCTACACACAAAACCTCTAAGGAAGCAATGTTACAAAATGTGACATAAAAGTGGGGTGGCCAGGAATATTCCATCTATATGACAGCATGAGACTGCTCACAACGCCCTCGTGTCTGATTTATCCCCATGTGGCAGGTCTAGCAGGGGTGCAGGAGGGAGAGACTCGGACATCAGTGTGCAGCGAAGGCCAAGCTCAGGCCCTCTGAAGGCAGGATGCGCTGCGGGGAGTCAGCTCCTGGTCTCCACCCTGACTAGATGCAGCTCAGGAGGACCCTTGTGGAATCTGTGTGAGAGAGAGAAAGGGGAGAGAGGAAGACAGACAGAGGGAGAGGATTGTGTCCTCTGTTCCCCAGGGGGAAGACAAGCTACTGGGTGAACAGAATCCAGAGAGAATCAACAGCCTCCTATAGTGCCCCAGGAACATATTTACTATTACAGTCATTATTTCATGGGGGATTGACTCTAGGACCCCCTATGGACACAAAAATCATAAATGGATAAGAATATAGCTCAGAGCACTTGCCTAGCATGTGTGAAACCCTGGATTCAATCCCCAGCACTACGAAAAAATAAAAGAAATGTTTAAAAGGGACAAACCCACAGATGCTCAAGTCCCTTATATAAAATGGTGCAATATTTGTATAGAACCCATGCACCCTCTGGTATATTTTAAATCCTCTCTAGATTATTCATAAAACCTAATAAAGCATAAATACTGCATAAATAGTTGTTATACTGTATTGTCTAGGGAATCATGACTCAAAAAAAAGTCTTCACATGGTCAGTACAGATGTAATTTTTAAAAGATCTTCTCAATCCTAGTTGGTTAAATTCAGGTCCTACAGTTAAGGGGGATGACTATAAATACAAGGGGGGCCCTACCAGGGCAATATGAGCAGAATACCTACCAATAACAAGGTTGTTGAAATACTGAGATCCCTCCGTAAGCTGCTGCCCCAATGTCCCATGTAGAATCCTCCATCACTCGGTTCTGTCCAGTAGCCCCCCGCCCCCGCCCCGCCTGCAACTGATCCAGAAATCAAAAGCTGCATGAAGGCTGGTAGGGGGCCCAGGGCTATGACCATGTCCCTGCTGACTGGCTGAAACCCATGCCATCTCCATCATTAAATACCTACTCTTATTAACTCTATTTTACCACGAGGGCACAGGGCTCAGGGAAGTGAATAACTTGAGCGGCACTGTGTAGAGACAAGAATTCAAAAACCAGAGTCCATGACTGCAAAACCTGAGTTTAGGGCGGTCCTGTTATGTGTAGTCCAAATGGAAACCCTGAGGACAAAAGGGGACCACCCAAAAGGGACACCAGGATAACAAATGTGAACAGGATTCTGCAGGCAGGCTGAGCACGGTCATCCTGTTCTTTCCTATCCCCGCAGGGCAGGACGGGATGCAAAATGCTCCATCTAGCCTCGTGCTCATTTTAATGAAGGCCAAGGCCAGCTGCTATGGGACTTCTGGAAATGACTTAACACTGTTGCTTTCCCCATTGTTTGCTAGATTTGTTAGAACCTAGCAGTGGGGGACGCTGAACCCAGCAGTGAACTGAACCTGGCAGTGGGGGACGCTGCAGTCTTACTGAACACCCTGGGGCCAAGGGAAGGGAAGAGTAGGCAATGCCCGTGGTGGTGGCATAAACCTATGGCTTTGTCGCTATTTCAGAAAAAGGAAGGCTTTGAATAAAGGAACTTGCCTTTGGTAACAATAAGAATCCGGCAAATGAATTTTCTCATCTGTCACAAGGGCACATGAGAGAGACCCTCCTGCACCATGAGCAATGACCAGATCCCACCCTCATGATGGACACTCAATCAAACAAGTGCTGGGAAACCCTCTGCCAAGTGACTATGTCTTCTCTTTGTTTCTGGACAGAATCACACTGGAGATACTTCTAGAAGATGATGTACAATCAATCAACAAATACATGAAAAAATGCTCATCATCTCTAGCAATTAAAGAAAGGCAAATCAAAACCACTCTAAGATTTCATCTCACTCCAGTCAGAAAGACAACTATTATGCAAACAAACAACAATAAGTGTTAGCGAGGATATGGGGAAAAAGGTACACTCAGACACTACTGGTGGGACTGCAAATTGGTGCAGCCAATATGAAAAGCAGTATGGAGATTCCTTGGAAATCTGGGAATGGAACCATAATTTGACCCAGCTATCCCTCTCCTCGGTCTATACCCAAAGGACTTTAAAACAACATACTACAGGGACACAGCCACATCCATGTTTATAGCAGCATAATTCACAATAGCTAAACTGTGGAGCCAACCTAGATGCCCTTCAGTGGATGGATTTTAAAAAATGTGGCATATATACACAATGGAATATTACTCAGGAATAAAAGAGAATAAAATCATGGCATTTGCCGGTAAATGGGTGGAGTTAGAGAAGATAATGCTAAGTGAAGTTAGCCAATCCCAAAAAACCAAATGCCCAATGTTTTCTTTGATATTAAGAGGCTGATTCACAGTGGGATAGGGAGAGGGAGCATGGGAGGAGTAGACAAACTCTAGATAGGGCAGAGGGGTGGGAGGGGAAGGAAGGGGGCATGGGGGTTATTAATGATGGTGAAATGTAATGATTATTATTATCCAAAGTACAGGTAGGAAGACCCAAATTGGTGTGAATATACTGTGTATACAATCAGAGATATGAAAAATTGTGCTCTATATGTGTAATAAGAATTGTAATGCATTCCACTGTCATATATAAATTTTAAAAAATCATAGTTATACCACTACAATACAGGTTTTCCAAAAATTCTTATAAATAAATAAATAGTGAAAAAAAATCACACAGGAAAAAGGCTCCATGGCAGGTCCCCAATGCAAGCATATGTTTTAGACACATGCACCTTCAAACAACAGTAACTGTCATTAAGCCCCGGTTAAGATTAACATGAAGCACATTTGTTCATAGTACCAGTATGGGGAGAATCAGACCCAGGTCTATTCTAGCCCTCACTTCTCAGCTGTTTGCCCTGGGCAAGTTAGTTAAAGGGCCTGAGCTTCACTTTCCTCATTTATAAAATGTAAATAGCAATTCATGCTTCAGGCTTGGTTGTTATTATTTAATGAGATAATATATTGAAGCACTCAGCTCAGAGTCTCATATGCAGCCACTTAATAAATGCTGGCTGGGGCTGCTCGTAGAGTCTAGGGACACACTGTCCAAATGCAAGCCTCATTCATTACATAAAAGAAAAAAGCAGGTGAAGTTAATTTTAATAATGCACTTTATTTGATCTAGGATATCCAAAATATGATTTCAATATATAATGAATATACAATTATTAATGTGTTTTTTAAAAAATATTTTTAGTTATAGATGGACACGTAGTATCTTTATTTTTTTTGTGGTGCTAAGGATCAAACTCAGTGCCTCACACAGAGAGGCAAGCACTTTACCACTGGGCTATAGCCCCAGCCCTATTAATGTGTTTTTTATTTTCTTCCTACCAAATCTTTAACATCTGGTAGTTAGCACTTACAGCACAGACTCATGCCCTGTGACCAACAGCCACATGTGGCTTCTGTTGACACTACAGCACAGCACCCCTCTAGACATCTAGTTATACTCCAGCAGGCACAGCAGGTCCACAACTCTCTCCTGCTATAAGAATCACGTTTTCTCACTACAGAAATCAGCAGTGATCTGCTCTATTATTGGTTGAATCCATACTTCTGGTTATTTTTCAGTCCCTTCTACTTAAGCCTTCGGATTACTAAGTGGTAGACAGGTTCCCGTGATTCGCAATTCAGGCTGTGTGTTTTGTGTATTTATAAAGACCAGATGATAATGAAAGCCTGCTAATTGATGGGCAGAATGATGTAATGAAATGGGGGCAGGAACAGGATATCTGTGATGAAAAGTGCAGCCTCCACCAAGCCAAAGCCTGACTCCAAACAGCCAAGAAAAAATAGCATTCAACTCAGTGCAAGGTGGGCTGACGCAGGTCCAGGAGGCGGGGAGCACAGATAGGAAGGAGGGGGGCTCAGGGTGGTCTCAGCACATAAGGGCCTGAGGCTTAGTAGGTCTGCAACTCAGCACCTCCAGGCAGCACTGGGCACGATGACACTGCCTTGGGCCATCTGTGGCTTTATTCTCAAAAGCACAGCAAAAAGAAAGAGAACTGCTGTGTTTTTAGGGGAAGTGGGAGAAACTTTTCCCTTTTCTGGAGTCAGAAGAGGCACCGATTTAAAGCCAACTACATTTTTCCAAGTGTCAAAGGATTTAAGGCGGTAATAAACTTTTGAGATGAAATACTGACAATGTTCACTGTGTTTATTAACACACTTTTTCATGGCCATTTAACTAATAAAATAACACAGGTTTTCTGACAGATAGATTTGAAACTCTACAAGGAGAAATTAAAGCAAAGAAACTGACACTATTGTCTTCAATAATCACAAGGAGAGTCATTCCATAACATGAGAAGCCCCAAATAAAAGGTCCAGCCACTGGTCAGAGCCCTTCAGCTCTCTCCAGGCCCAAACTCACTGTACCAACAAATTATGTTCCCAGTGGACATGATGTGCAGAAGAAGCCCAGCTGTACATCCTAAACTCTAGCTAAGGAATGCAAGGAGATGTGTAAACCAGTTCAGAAAGACAAAGGGGTTAAGCTTCAGTTTGTCGGTGCTACTTGTTGAAGGAAAAAAAAATTCTATTTGGGGTAGTGCAATGTGAAATCCACAGAGCTGGGCATCTATGAATGGGTGACCTAACAACTATTACTTATCTTTTCTGAGTCCTGAGTTTCTTACCTATAAAATGGACAATTAATGCCAACTTTGCAAAAAAGTTGTAAAGATTAGACAGAATGTATGTTAAAGAGCTGGTACTATGCTGTTTACTTAGTGCTATATTAATTATATTAACATAATAACAAATGAGATACTCGCATTTGTTTCCTAATCAGTATAAAGCCTTCATTGAAAAAGAGTTAGTGAAGGGCAGCATAAGGTGAAGGTCACTGAAATGACCTTCACTTTGAATCTGTGCATCTATTGGCATGCAAGGGAGCCTCGTTTTCTCAATGCTTGAAATGCTAAGTGTTTTTTTTTTATATCTGTACCTTTTCTAATTTAATAAAAAATGATAAGAAGTTGGTTTTGAATGCCTCTGTAAGTCACCTTGAAAACTGTGCTTTTTTAAATAAAGTAGGTATTCATGCATGACAGAATCTGTGTGGTGACAGCAGTGTGTGCTTCTCTGTGTCTGCGTATGTATACTCTTTAAGTCTTAACTTACAAAGAATCACTTCTCCCAAGGTCTCAAAAGAACTTCCCAAACTGTGAGGGAGTCCTTGGTCATGAAGCAGTGCATTTGAAAAATTCACTCACATTAAAAATATAGTATTATGATATTTTTTTTCCTCAAGGCCATTCCTTACGTTTTAAGAGGAAGCATTCCTGAAAAATAATTCAAAGAAAAAAATTCTTGAGATCTAAGAAGTACAAACACAGATATTACAAAGATGCTGATACCAGTACTTTGTATGCTAATGGTAGAATACTAGGCCTCTGTCACAACAAGGGGGACAGGGGACAGAGTCCTTTCTTAAAAACCCTCAAATCACACCATAGGGATGACTTTTTTTTTTCCTCAGTGCTGAGGGTAAAACCCAGAGCCTGGTACATGCTAGCCTTCTGCTCTACCACAGAGCAACACTTCCAGTCCCTAGGAGTGACCTTTAACGGCAGCTTAAGGTCAGTCTGGTTTCAGTAAGAGACTTGCTTTACGACAATACAATTCCATGGTAAGTGCTGTGTGTGTGTGTGAACGTGTGTGTGTGTGTGTGTGTGTGTGTGCGTGCACATGCTCACACATGGGTGCAGGTTTCAAGTTGATAAATCACACTATCAGAATTTCAACATTTAGCATCCACCCACCAAATTACAGCTCACACCAGGAGAGCTTTTGAACGGCGTGAATCGTTCAGACACCCAGCTAACACGTTCGCAGCAGAGGCTGCCAGGTCAGGGTTACCTTTCTTTGGTCTGGATTTCACTGGCAAGGACTCCTTTCTTTCCATGGCTGCTTCTCTTTCTTTCCATCGTCGGATCTGTTCCTCCCTCATCTTGAAGAACAGGATCTGTTTCTGCTCTTCGCTGAGCTCAGCCAGGAGGTCAGGATCTATGTACATCTCTGACAGTATCTGTCTCAGCATCTTTGCAGTGCGGGAGTCTTTTACACCTGTGGCAAGAGTTCCTGCAGATGGCTTACAGGTGTACCTCCACCAGGCTGGCACCTAGAGGTGTCCACAGACCCTCTCAGAAATGCACAAGGTCCAGAAATCCCCACTGAGTGGGACAGGAATTCAGCAAATTGTCTCCTCGCAGCTGTTAGCAAAAACCTGCAAAGAGCAACAAGCCAAATTGGGTCTCATTAAAATGTGACGACGGGGCAGTGGCAGGCTTATAAACAAAGCTTGGAAGAAATACAGTACCATTTCTCATTCCAGGAGAGAAGGAAAGTTGAGGTATCTGTGTTAAGAGTTTGTGTAACCTTTACCCCATAATTTCCAAAGATATCGTGTGGAAAAAAAAAAAAACTAACTTTATACAGGTCAGAGAAATAAAAATTCAGCAGAGGTTTGGCCTTCTCCCAACTAAGCAAACATATTGTTACATCAGAGCTGCCAAACCACCAATTGTATGACTGAAAAAAAAGAACTTAAAAAAAAGTCACAGGAAGAAATTAAAAAGCTTTCTCTAAACAAATTATTTCAAAAGAAAATGCCACTTTTGAGATTTCACACAGACGGATTCACCCCAAACCAAATCAAAACAGCTGTGCTCAAGGAAGAATAAATAATAAAAGTTAGACCACATGCAATTTTTGCATTTCCCCTTGAACATAGCACTAAATAAATACTTCAGCCATCACAAAAGGACAATCTAGTTTCCAGACAACCTACTAGAGCCATGAGAACAGTACAGGTGCAAAAGAGAACACTCTTGACCATTCTGGAAGGTCACCAGGTTTTAGGCATACCTTTTCCAGATAACCTAATTTAATAAAATCTAAATTTACAGACCAGGTAAAGTAGGGCAATGAAGTCACTAGGTTTATAACAAAGGATCTTTGATTTATAAAATCTTCTTTTGAAAGAAGTCAGACTCTAACATGCATGCACATTGGTTTCAGAGGCAATACTAGGCAGCAGAAATTCCACTAGGTCTTAAACTACTTTACACATATCTGTTTGATTGAATTTTTTTAAATGCCAGCCCTTTATACTTTTATCATCAGAAAGAAATCATGTATATATTTCCTTTTTTGAAACAACAAAAAAAAGACATTTGTTTCCATGTCATAGATAGTATAAAACTCTTAGTACAGTTTTTCATAATCACCTACATTGTAAGAAACCACAAATTTGGTGCTTACAGTACCTCAATAATCTCACCATCTGCCCTCTCAAATATCTTGTTTCTCCATACTAAGTCCAAGCACTCTTAAACTTGAGACTGGCCACTTGGCTATGTCATGACCACAATGGTTTCAGCTCCTCTTATTTCTTTTGTTTTGTTATTCATACAGCTGGATTTTTTAATGCTCTTCTCATCTCCTGGGAGTCCCCTTCTTCCCATCCTTCTCCTTCTTACCAAGTTGCTACTTGACTTAGAGCTTGAGATAAGCATGTTCAACAGGTGGATACTACAGTACCTTGCATCTAAAGCACTGACTCACTAATATAGCAAGAGCCTTCATTGAAGCTATAACTGTTCTCACTTACCTGCACCCTATATTCTCCTGCAGCATGGAGAATTCAAATGGAATAGAAAATTAAAAGAATTTTTTAAAAAAAGAATCAAAAGCACTACCACTGACTCTAACTCAATCAGAACTCAACCAGGCATGCCCTCCCAGTACCCTGGCTAAGAGATTTTGCTTTGAGTTGACCTTCAAAGGCTTTCATAGTGCAGAGTTGATGTCTTGTAATAATTTTTTTGGCTTTCTGGTTCTAGCAGCTTCTCATGGGGTGGAACCAACTAAGTCCACACGGAAGGAGAGGTTTGTAGTGGATACTCTTCCTTCACAGAAAGAATCTGGTTCCCTGGCACATTTGACTCCAAGGCTCCAAGATAAAGTGGAAAGAAACCAAAGTGAATAACCCCTTGACATTCCAGGAATGTCCTTATGTGGGCACAAGCCATGACTGCAATGGTCAACTCCCACAGAAATAAAACATGGTAGAAAACAAGGGCCCATGAGGTCTGAGGTTTCTGCCCTGATCCCCAATTTGCACAGGGTGAATCCTTACTGGTGGGATGAGTAGTTAAAGTCTAACGCTGTGAAAGGGCCAAATTCACACTGCTCCCTCACCCCTGCCCAGAGTACTCCTGATAACAAAATGAACACTCCCAGTACCAGCACTCTCTTGAGAGCTTTGCATGTGTTAACTCCCTTCATCATCACAACAACCCTTTGAGTTTGGTCCCATTTCACAGATGAGGAAGATGGTACAGAGGCCTCATCCAGGTCAACTGTCGAGAAGTTTAGCAAAGGCCAAATACAGGAAACATCCCACTCAGTCAGCACTGCCATATCAGCCCAGGTGTGGGCCTTTATTTACCAGGTACTCAGCCTCCCCAACATGCCCTTCCAAAAGACCCCTGGGAGCAGCACAAAGGGTCTAGCCCCTCATGTGTGAGAAGAACTCCTATATAGTCCTGTAGCAGTTAACTACCAGAACTCAATTAATCTTGAGTAGAGGACCCTGGTTTCCTCCTGTCCTCAGAGAACAGGAAGACAACCCAGCTGACAACTGTGGGTGGTCAGGCTGTTGAGTATGCCTGCCATTCTGCGGCTGTTGATTGGCCCTGGTGAAAATTAACTGTCCCCCCACCCCAAGGGTTTCCCCTATAACCCACAGCCCTCCAGCCTGGAGGCACAGCTCTGCCTCTCATGAGCTGGGTAGCTTTGGGCTGTCACTTTGGGTCCTTGGACTCCATTTCTCTGCCTGTGAAATCAGAAGGTCAGTTCAACCGGGGAATCTTCATAACTTTTGGATTATGTAATATAATCTAGTGAGAAATTATCAAGATAAGTGGAGCCAGGGTGCAGGAAACAGAAATGAGGAAATTAACAAACCAGGGATTTCCCTTCTCTCACTCACTCCCAGGACAAGCTGCAGTGCTAACACTGATTCACACTGAATGACTTTCCCCTCTCTGATACACTCAGTGTAGCAAATGTCCAGTTATTGGAGATCCAATAAAAAGAAAGGCTCATCTAACTCGGTTTTCTTCTTCTACAGCACTTTTCTTAAAAGAAGAGAAATGAGCAGCAACAAGTCCACACCTACTCTTTATCCCAAAAGTCCATTTCTAAAGGCGCCTTTCTAAAGGGTCATACATAGGAATAGTTAAGTCTTCCAGGCTACTCATCCATCTGTTCTGATTTTCACACCTTCCACAGACAATATCCTACAATACATTGTCTTTTCAATGACTCTGAGACCTACACTATAAAAATAAAAAGGCCTGAGGTACAGCATGAATCATAAAAACGTTGTGAAATGGGCAGTTTATAATTTTAATTCTAATTATTTTTAATATCCAAGTCTGTTTTCAGACTTTCAGTTCTCTTACTCAGGTTTATCTTACCAGTCTATCTGCAAAAGGGCTGTTTTTGAGGATAAAATGAATTAAGAGTGATAACAGCAATTTGGCATTTTGTAAATAGGCACCATTCTTCAGAAATGTCAAATTACTGTACCTACAGATTTGCCCAGAAAACTCTAATCATGCCAAATCTATGTCCAAATATGCTCCCCATTAATTAATTCCATTTTCAAATATTGGGTCCAAGTTGTTCTATCACACAAGCAAACAAAGATTTTCTTTTTAACAAGAAAACCTTTGGGGAGGCGAAGAGAATCTAAGTTTAGGAAGAGGCAGGTGCTAGGCTTACTTTTCTGAGACTCTCAGGAAGGGAGACCACTCAGGAAAAACTGCAAACTGTGACGCCTTTGGTCGCCCATAAACCTATGGTCAGGAGCCCCCAGGGGTCTCACTAGGTTGAGGAAGGTCACAGCCCAGCTGACAGGGGTTGCGTTCTGGTCCCAAGGACTCAGGGAGGCGACATAGCAGGGCCCCACGCGGGGGCGCCCCTGGGTGCGGACGCACGGGGAAGGGTGCCCAGCGAGTGCGGCGGAAGCTGAAACCGGTCCCCGGCGCTCTGCGCCCAGGTCTCCAGGCAAAGGCGGTCCTCTCGGCCTCACCCACTGATTGTGCGAGGCTGGTCTTGGGGAGCAACTGCCTGCACAGGCGCTGGGCGTCCGCGTGAGGGCGGGTCCCAGGACGCAGCAGCCAGGGGAGACCACCACTGCCCGGGCGCCGGCGCGGCGCTACCGCTCAAGTCCAGAAACTGGACCAGCCCAGACCCTCCCCGGGACCCCCGCGGAGCGCCCTGCTCCCCGCCTGCGTAACCGCGCGCCGCGTGCGTGTGAGCACACCCCTCGGCACCGCATCCCCGCCTGGATCCCAGAACTTCCCAGAAGGACACCGAAGTCCCCTCCCATCTTCCCCCTAAAGACTCCCTGCCTCGATCCAAAGCACCCCACCTTCGGGGACCGCCGCTCACCCAGCCGGCGGCTCCAGACACCGGACACCCGACACCGGACACCCGCCGCCCGCCGGGCCGCGATCGCCGGCTCAGCTAGGCACCTGAGCCCGCCCCGGCGCGGCGGAGGAGGGACCAAAAGGAGGGGCGGCCGGCTGCTGCAGGGACCAAGGCCTTGCCGCCCGCCTGCCCCTGTCCCTGCACCACCCGCGCTCCCCCTCGAGGACCCGCTTCCGCTCTACACGCGCCCTTCTCCCGGGTCCCCTACAGCACCCCTGCACCCACCCACCTGTTTAGGGCCCTGGGCTCGCCTGGGCAGAGTGACCCGAGCACCGCCACGTCCAGGTGGGCCACCAGAAGCTGTCGGAAAAGAGGAGAGAAGGCCGAGGCTCGGCGAGCCCTGCAGCTGGCTGCACAAACACTCAGGCTGAGAGGGCGAAAGGCGTCCAGCCCCTGGCCCGGCCCGCCCTTGCCTCCCGCCGCGCCCACTAGTCCGGGTGACTGGCTGGGCGCGCTCGCGGCCCCACCCGGGCGCCTGGAGACGCTCCAGGGCCACTTGCCGGCAAGGCTTGGCAGCCTGCAGCATCTCGGGACAGC